TTCGATCGCCTCCCTAACGCCCTAATCCACGTGGAAGCGTACTAGCTCGGCTGTCTCCAAGGTTGCATGAGAGTCACTCCACAAGCGTCTAACGACATCCATAAAGAAAACAAAATCTTCAACCAGCGGTCGAAACAATACGCAACGTGTTTGAAGACCTTTGTGGACGGTGAATGCGAGGAAAACGAATCGAATGTAGAAAGTCTTACGATCCGCACAGCAGAGATGATGACGGTCATGTAAAATTTTAAAAAAGGCGTGCAGTGGATAGTGGTGCAGAGAACAGCTCCTCTAAGCCTTTGCTCTGAATAATATCTGTGTTAGACGAGCTGCCGATTGAATACAGCAATTAAGAAGGCACAACGGAGAAAAAATTTGTGCTACCAAACAGACCACTGAGAATAAAATGCATTCGAGTCAATGCGCACCGTTCACCACTAAATTCAGCTGCTGTGTGCTAATGGTTATTTGAGATACGGACGAAGACGAACATCTACTTGCAAGAGTCTGGACAACGACTCATTATAAACGCTCTCAGCATTTGGACAAAGAAGAGTTGGCTGGAAGGCTCGCTTTTTCAACCTTTTCTCTTCTATAGACTGCATAATTGCTCTTATTACTGGTTATTGCAATGTTATGAGTGGTGAATATTATTTCGAGACGTGAGACGTGGACAGGAAAGTGAGGTGGCGTTAGCCTGTACTTTCATAAAGTCCATTTCAACTTATTATTGGCACTTCAACTAAAGTTTCTTAGAATTCGCAAATAACTGCAACGAATGCCTTAGAATTTTTCCTGACGAGTGTATGGTTCAATCGCTGTTCTTTGCAATGCCAGTATATTTCATTTCTGGAATTTATTACATGGAAGAAATGAGGGAAGTTGATGTTTACTTGAAGCCAATTTGCTTGTTTCATAAAGATTTATTTTGTTTGCATTTCAGGAGCCGTTTATACTAACCAGAAATTCCCGATATTCTCTCTGGAGAAGACCATTCTTTCAATCTTAGCGCCATTCCTTCTAAAAACTAGCAACGTATTTCAGAGAAGATGTTTTCAGATCTGCCTTCGGTCAGTTTATTACGAAATATCTGTTCAGCTTACCTTCGTCTCACCGAAAACGTTGATTTTTCCAGGATGACTGCGAGTGATATGTTCTCGTCAAAAGCAAAACGGCGAAATTACCGAAAAACCTCAGCCAGCGAGCTGTAATCCTGAGTATCTCGCCAAGTTGAACAGGTAGCTTTTTCGTTAAAACTGGTATGAGTAAGGTATATTAGCTAATCAACGCTTGTCTTATTACTGAAGATGGTAGTTGTATTAAGTATTAAGTAGGAACCGTTTTACATCAGTTCTCTCTGTTAGGGTAATAAGTGATGGAAATGCAAGTTTCGTAGAGGTGTGGATGTAAAACAGTGTCACGGAGGAAGTGCGTTTGTTCTTAAAGTTTAAACTTTTCATGCTTTTCTTATTGATTTTTTAAAGCTGGCGAGGCTTCCAGAAAACGAAGCATAAGAAGTTAGTAATTATCTTGGAATCTTTTTTGAGAAATGTTCTATGGCTCTGTATGAAGTGAGCTTTCGAAATCGTATTTTCATGCTGCTCATTTTTAATTATTGTTCTACTTATGTTCTTATTTATGAAATACAAATATTTTCAAACGGTTTTCTCATCTTATTTTTTATTCTGCCCTTTTTGAAATTTTTCGCATACCAATTTTTAACGCAAGATAGGTTGGTGTTTTTGGGAGAACATGATGAGGATGGAACACTTTCGTCACGACAAGAAATCTGCAAGGACTGCAGGGCGGNTAGGTTGGTGTTTTTGGGAGAACATGATGAGGATGGAACACTTTCGTCACGACAAGAAATCTGCAAGGACTGCAGGGCGGGTAGGTGTTGGAATTTTAAAATTTAGGAAGCTCGGTCGGCATTGTGAGGCCGTTGTCGATGGTAACAGGTGGAATAAGCAGTATTTATTGTTCTTCTTATACTAATAGCTTTTCGTCCCTTATTTTGTTCTTGCACCCTTAGGATATCCAAGAAATGTTACATTGCTGTTGATCATCGGAACATGCCAAAGCGTTTATAACTGGGTGTGTTAGAGTTATGAGCTTAGAATAATGTCTAGTTTGTTTCATTGCGAGCGTGATCCATAATCACCCCGTGGTCACCCTGCTCGGTAATACGTGGTTCCCAATATGACGTTCTTCTGACGCTGTTCCGGGTCTAATCTTAGGCATTAAAATCTCCAATTATGATCTTGAAGAATCTATGGTCTTCTCTATAGAACTTTTCCCACTTCATGCAGGACGCTTCGACTTGTTCTTCGTCACAGTTTGATGTTGGCGCGTAAACGACGAAGATTATCAAACCCAGAATTAATTTACGTCTTTTTAATCATAAACGTCCTATTCGGGTTGTAAGTTGTTCGAATGAATCGATGATCATGTCTAAATTCGTGTTGACGAGAAACGCCGGCGCCACCGATTCCTCTGCTGTCGCATGTTCCGAGGAACTTTTCTCCGGTGTGATAGACTTTGAGTTGAATTGTATGTGTGGTGTCGTCTTGTTTCAGTCTGATGATGTCATACCTTGCCCTTCTTGTTTACATGATCAAGTCATATATCGAGAACTCAGATTCAAGTGTGAATGCGTTGTAGGTACAGATTATCACCTTAGTCCTTTGCGATTTAGGCAGCTTAGAATAGTCCTGAAATTTTAGCAGTCTCTGCATGCGGGGTCAGGGGAATGAGGTCAGTTTTTTTTACCGTATTTATGCTTTTGATACCCACGTATAGCTTGCTGGGCTCTGAACATGGGGGCTGGGTATACAGAGGTAGCTGGCCAGTCTCTCCTAGTGTAGAAATGGAAGTTATTTGTCGGAGGTGACTCCTAACAATCTATATGTACTTCCCTGTCACTTGCTTGCATTCTTTTGTCCGAACTGACTCGTACAGTACGCATAAACGAGGATACGCCCACTCACGCATGCATGAATCCGCCTTCGTAAATACATAACGTATATGCCAAATTACTTACTTACTTACTTGGACGGTCCGTCTTCGCGAGCTGTGCGGACCACAGCACATATGCCATTCGTTCCTTTTTCTCGCAACCGTAGTCCAAGGTGGTGGTCTTGTTCGAGCATGGCAGCGCTTGCGAATCTCATGCCGTGATCTCTAAAACAAATGCCGCTGCGGGTACAGCTGATTAACTCTGTTTACGAACACGTGCGCCCGTGTAGGTGGTCGTCAAAGAGGACGTTTGCATTCTCTGGGAATCCACTTTACTGTTCTTTTCGTCCATCTGTCGTCGGCTCTTCTCATTATGTGACCGGTCCATCTATGTTTCGCTGTCGATGTATATTCTACTGGATCTCAAAAATGTGAGATTTCGAAGGTCAGAGCTTGCATTCCGGCTAGATATTGAGAGTGCCGGTTATATTTCAGAAGACATCGCTCAAGCGCTCTGTGAGTAGTTCGAAGTATTCTTAACGTAGTTGAAGTATCAACCCACGTCTCTGCAGCATAAGAAAGCACTGGGAGGACCGTAGAATCAAAGAGATGGGCGCAGATTTTCGGGTTCTCCAGTTGGTCGGTGGCTTCTTTGAGAGGTCCGAATGCTCGCCAAGCTGTTCTCCTTCTTCCATCTAGTTCCTCGTTCATGTTTTTTTTCCATGTTCATTGATCGCCCAAGGTAAACGAACGAGGTGGTCTGTGCAATGAGAGAGCCATCCAATTCACTTTTTTCGCCTTCGCACCATGGGTTTTTCATGAAGTGGGTTTTCTTTCGATTTATGCGAAGTCCAATCTTTTTCCCCGCTTCGTTGAGCTCGTTGATCATCACTTCTGCTTCGCTAATACTTCTTGAGAAGATGACAATGTCGTTGGAAAAACGAAGGTTTGATAGGAATTTTCCATCAATACGTATGCCTTTCTCATCCCAATCGAGTGACTTCATTATCCACTGCAGTGCGACACTGAACAGCCTTAGCGGTATTGTGTCGCCCTGTCGAACCTCTTTTTTTGTGGGTATTGTAAGAGGTCGATGGAAAAGCTGCATTTTCGTAGTGCAGTTCCGATAACAGTCGGACAGAGTCCTTATGTAGGACTGGTCCACTCCTTGGTCGACGAGCGCTGATAGGATTGCATTCGTTTCGACACTGTCAAACGCTTTCTCATAGTCGACAAAGGTCAGGACTAAAGGCAAGTGGTATCTCTGACAAACTTCGATGACCCTGGACACGGTTTGGATGTGGTCCACGCAGCAAAATCCTTTTCGAAATCCTGCTTGCTCGACGGGTTGCGTCTCACCCAATGTCCTTGATAAGGCGCGAGAGGACAATCTTCGTGAAGAGTTTGTATGGTATACTCAACGAGCATATGGGACAATAGTTACGAAGATTCCTTCGGTCTCCTTTCTTGAGTAGGATAACCGTGCACGACGTCCTGCAGTGGTCTGGGATTTTCTCCTTTTGAAGGCAGCGTGTCATATGAATTTTTTTATGCGGGAAGTACATGTAAATTTTGGCCTCCAGCTCTAAGGAAATCGGCAGTGATATTATCGAGTCCTGGAGCTGTGCCTCTTTTCATGCTTTCTATCGCAACTCAAACCTCCGACGGAAGAATTCCAGGTAGCTTTTCTTCAGCGGGGATAGTAGGGCCCGTGACGGGGATTGTGGAACGGAAAAGGTTGGTGTAGAACGTTTCCGCTATTAATTCCATATCATGGCGGGAAGTTTTGACGATCCCATCTTCGTTNAAAAGGTTGGTGTAGAACGTTTCCGCTATTAATTCCATATCATGGCGGGAAGTTTTGACGATCCCATCTTCGTTTATCAGGGCTGACAGCGGAACATTATAACCACAGAAGCCCCGACGGCATTTTTTCAGACTGCTTCTTTTCTCTGCTGCTTTCAGTAGTTTCTTCTGCTTGTACCGTTGTAGTTCTTCCTGCAAAGCTCTTCGGAAGCTGGGATTTATTACTAGCCATGTTAAACGTGTTGCAGTAGGATCAAGCCTCAGTTTCCTTCTCTTTTCGAGCAACTCCTTAGTAGTGATGGAGATGCGATCCGATCTCGCATGAGGAACTGAAGCTAACTCGGCACAACTTTTCAATCCTTCGACAAGCAGCTCGTAATCTTCGGTCGGATCTCCTTTAATCAGCCAGTCACGTTTGCGCAAGGTTTCGTTCAGAATGTTCTCGTCGTATACAGCTAGACTTTTTCGTCGTGGTCGATGAAGAGAGTTCTTTTCCAGCTTGCGGCTCAATCGAATCTTCGCGCGAAGAAGGCGGTGTTCGGAACCAGTATAGAATGACGAGACTGTCGATGTGTCAAGTAGGCACCATCTTCTATTTGTCAGAATATGGTCGATCTCCGCATGAGCCATGCCGTTGGGAGACTCCCATGTCCAGCGGCGGCTTTCTTTCTTCTGGAAGAACGAGTTCCCATGAAAGAGGCGTGCTGCTGACAGGAGTCCTGCGAGATAGTTCCCATCCTCATTTCTTTCTCCTAATCCAAAATTTCCGATCCTGTATTCGCTCTCGTTGGCCTTTCCTATTCTGGCGTTGAAGTCTCCAACAACAAATTTATGATATGCTTTATCATTGCGGATGATATACGAGGGGAAAGGATCACGTATGAGTCTACGAGATGGAGAATGGACGGGTGGACAACAAAGTCTACGCCACCGACATTTCGTGACGGGACCTTTTCTCCGCGGATCACAAGAGTCCCGTTGTTTAGTTGGCGTATGTCGGTCTTCTTGATTTTTGTTTCTTGTTATGCGATCACATGAAATTTAATTCGATCTGCGGCTACAAGAAGGGCGTGAAGATTGGCGTCTGTGGAGAGTGTTCTGGCACTATACGTGCATAGTAAGAAACAATCTCCATGGCTTGTCGTGCGTGTATTCGTCAGATCCGGTTCGAATGACGTCCTGCGTAACCCGAGATTTTCTGACCTCTCACCGGTCGTCTCACCGCCTGACGTCATAGACGGGAGCACCCACTGTGCGGGGTACTGAGGCTGGCCTATTGCTGGTCGTGCAACTTGGTCCTTCCTGAAGTCCTGATGTAACCTTGCAAGGGCGTATCCAGGTCCTCACCACGATGTGGATCAGAGGGAGGTGTGTTTCGGCGACGAATGTTAAAACCGAAATCAGAAACGGAAGTAGGAATGTAAAAGTAACCGACCCCTCAATGGCGATGTAGAAGCCGAAATCCAAATTATGCCAAATTGACGCAGCACAAAGAGAGTCCATCCCCTGGATCCATCTGCGTCTCAGGGCAGCAAAGGTTGCTTTTGGTCTGTAGTTAACTCCTTATCCCTCACCTGGGGATGCGTCACGTAGTTTCGCGGCTAACCGACTCGGGATCTATCGTATGAGGGAGATCCGTGTGTCCTTCTCTACACTTCCCTCAAATTCTGAAATTCTCAGTTACGGTACTTATCGAAAGATTATCGACAGTTATAGAGAAACTGCTACGAATTCGATAAGTTCACCGTACTAGTGAATATACAGCATATTCCTTTCGTTGTTGCATGAACTGCCCTCAATGCATGCGATGGGAGTAGGCTAGACCGTATGCGTTGATCTCGATACTTTTTCGTTCTGGCCTTTTTTCACGTGCCAAGTCTTTTTGGTAATACTTTTGCCTATTCGGTAGATTGTCCAACGGAAATATCATGCTACGCATAGCGCATTGAAAGCTTCTTTGTACACATTATCATTTACAAAAGAAACTGCTTTTTTGCTCGAGTTCTTTTTTTTTTTTCTTTTCCGCGGCGAGTCCGTTTCTGTTGAGGAAGGCACTAGATATCTCTTTCCATAAAAATTATCATTTTTGAGGAAACCACTAAATGTTTCGACATAAGCATACAGTGCGCCCTAATTTGTGCACCTCATACAGGACATCTTTGGAAGCAGCAGGTTCTCAACACCATCACGTCCGTAAAATTGGCTCAAATAGGAGGTGTATTTATACATTCCCAAAGTTTACTTAAAATATAATGTAGTACAGACTGCCATAGGCTCAGTGTCTTGCTTGAATGGTGGCCGAGGCTTCCTTCATTATTAACAAGAGTTGAGTATGTCTAAAACGTGAAAAGAGGGCACATCGAACATAGTCCTCAGAAATAAATGACACAAATGCATGTAAGAAGCAAGTTGTAAGGCGAGGTGTTAAGAACAGGAGCATTTTCGATGTTAATTCGGTATGAATTCAGTAAGACGGATCCATACTACTAGCGTTTCTGTAGGAGCGACGTGGTACAAATTTCGGATAGAGGTCTCAGGTCACCTGCGAACTCGTGCTTCTATTCTATATGGAGGGAATTCTGTCACACTTCATTTTGTTAACAGAAAAGCGTGTGACACAGACAATGCAGTTCACGTTTGTTCCGACGTCGCCATCAACAAATCATCAACAGCTTGCTTGCGAAGTATGCATCTATGAGCGCTCGGCATCTCGCTCTTAGTTTCTCAGTTTTACCACCAACTTATTGCTTAAGCTTTACGTCAAACTGGTTGGTAATTTATGAAATGTGGTAAATGTAGTTGTTTTGCTTCTGAACTTAGACAGTGCTGGTGGTCTTTTCATCTTGTAGCGGTGTAGAGTTCGTAGAAAACTGGTGCGCAGCTACGACGAATGCGAAGCCGGACTTGAACCAACTTTTGTCAACAGAAAGGCGTGTGTTTATTGAATGTAAGATTCCTTTGTCATGTTGCACACTATAGTATATTGGCCCAATATCATTGACCACGTGTGGGTACTCATAATTGAAGAGATTCAAATACGGATGTCATAGTTCATTTTCGTTCTTCGTACAACTGCTTCAATCTCAACATAAAATGCAAACACAGGGAAATGTAAAATTACCGAGAAGTGTCTCGATTTTTGGACTATTCGAATCCAGCAGAGGAAATTGTAACTCTTATCCGAACAGCAAGAATATCCAAGATGATAAAAATAAAGGATAAAGCTCCCAACGTTGACGATTCCCTGGGGGATGCGCCATGTATTCGACTTCATTAAGCATCGTTCGAGGAGATTGAATGCATATCTAGGTTTTGCAATGACCCGAGGTGGCCTACCGATGAATCGAGCCAGTACTGTTACTCTCGCAGACAAATCTGGTAGCAATTTGCCAATCCTGAAGAGAATGGAAGGCTTGGTGGGCCATGTGCGCGGGGATTGATTCCACCGTGCGTTGCAAGGCGCATCCGAGATAGTAACCACGCCAAATCTAAAGGTAGCCCAGAGCGATGATATGCGCCTTGGATTTACTGTTAAACCAGTGAACATGCTATTAATTCTAAAGGAGATAGGTGCAGCATAATGTGATTAATTCCGAGTACAAACACTTCCAAATTAGGCAAACTGACGGATAAAGTTGAGAATCAAATATTCGATCAACCACTATCGGTCATATTATTAACACTATGGTTGGTGTACTACCATTTTTACAACTTTTGATTTCAAATACGAACTTTGAATTCGAATGCGCAATAGTAAGCACTCACGTTTATCACATTTGGCACTGTCATCAGGTATAGTACCGTAGATTGAGATATACGAAAGGTATCACACTTTTGGTGTTGAAACTATTATTTTTAGTCCGATGTTTTTCTTCAATAAGCAGACAAGAGGTTACAACTTCGTGTCTGCTTATTGAAGAAAAACATCGAATTATCAATCAGTGCCGAAGTTAACAGAAAATCGGTCTTGGGAATACTATTTTTACTATGAGGTTTCCACTAAATATGTCACGTAGAGACCAACCGCACAGAAATCACGTGGAAGTATAATGTCTATTTTTACTGTTCTTCTGGCAAAATCTGGCAAAATCACCAACAGATCGATGAGTTTGCCTGTTCCATTGGCTTCATCGTTGGATCACTTCCGGATGAGGACTTGGAACTTGTTCCTAGGTTAGAAAACGTTGCTAATGAACGAACCTTCGGCTTAACATAGCAGTTTAACATCCTGGAATACCCTTTTGTGGAAATAAGGTAGTAAATAACTGGCGAAAGAGAGTGGAATGTAATTATATTTACTATAGTGCTCTCTGCGAACGACGTTAGCAAGACAATAAGACGAGCAGAAGAGAGGTTCAGGGTGGAATGTCATCTTAAGAGAAGCTATCTAAGGAACTGAGTTGTTGAAGTGGTAGCTATCTTAACTCTTTTATTTACTGCCTTTTTCTTCTTAATGGCAGGTTACGTTTCGAATTATAACTGGTATGAAATGCTGAGATATTTGCAAAACTCCGGACCACAGGTGTATGCAGTGGAGAACGAACACGCGCTGTTGTCCTTTCCTGTCCTGTGGTAGCTATGTTTCTCGTCTTTTCATCGACTCATCATAAGGACATATCGCTTTCCAATGGATCCAGGTATCTAGACACGTGCTGAATTTTTATAGGGCGTAGCTGAACCTTTCGTAGAATGACGAACCACGGTAAACGAAACGGTACGAGGAAAGTTTTCTAACAAATTCTACCACTGTCCGTTCAGAACTACACAACACAGCTCCCACTTTTAGGTCTTGAGTAGCTACCCACTTAACCATTGAATGCAACCTTTTCTAACTTCTTAACATTGATTATGCTCCCAGGATCGACTTTCTCTTAACCTCGGCATTGGAATATGAATGTGTCGTTTTCTTGTTCAGCAATCGCGAGGTTTTTAAACAGCATACATTTACTTCCATAAGAAACACAATACAATACAGCGCTAGCTGACATTTCGGCAGTATCGCCTTCTGCAGAGCCGCTTTTTCGTGACTTCCAATGAGGAAGTTTAGAACAGCTGATTATAGTCGCATGTGGTTGACGACACTGAAGCGGCTCTGAAGAAGGCGATACTGCCGAAACGTCAGCTAGCGTTGTATTGTATTGTGTTTTTTATGGAAGTAAATGTATGCTGTTTAAAAACCTCGCGATTGCTGAACAAGAAAACGACACATTGATTATGCTATTTCTTTCATTTATCTCCTTCAACTCACCTAAAACTACGTTCAGTTTGTCCATTGTAGTAGCACTGGATATTCCGCCATCGAAGACACGAATATTGGCCATGCAAACTTCAAAATGTTGCACCCCAATGTAGACGAACCACAGACGGAGCCATAACATGGCGACCACCTCTCGGATGTATGACCACAAAGAATAAATTTTGTCAAATGAGTAATGTTTTAGTTGAGAAGTCAGGAGCCTACTAGCTAGATAGATTGGCTCGAATGATCAAAATGGTTGCACATCAAGCACCGATGGTGTACGCGATAACAGTCTAGATGCTCACAACAGACGCTGTACTTATAGGATATAGTAAGAACATCTTGTTCGTGTATGACCTGTTCACCGTCGAATTATATTCTTCATTCGATCGGCCATCCACTTCAATGGATTCGACTCGGTGCGACGACGAATGCCCACATCGCGAGGAACCGACAAAATCCTTGTAGGTTCATTAGCGTTGTAACCCTTTGAAAACGAATTCCTCACGCTTGATCGAGGGAACATCCCTTGCGCAAGCAAGCGCAGGTAAAAACATTGGACCATAAATATAACTATTAAAGACAACATCTGCTAGAAAATCTACTTGAATTAGAAATATCCCCCTTACTTGATCCCTATACAGTTGTGATATTACAGCCACACCCGCGATCCGGAGTTTTTTTTTTTTAAATTGGAACTGTTTTCATCCTACTTGGTCCCTAAGACCTGCATGGTGTGGTACCTGCAATAGTACCTGCATGTGGTGGCGAATGCGTAATGCAGTACTATGTTTATATAGAATACATGACAGCAAAGTTAACATAGAATAGTGACCACGTACATTAAGAGTTAACACCTTGGATTAACTACATGGCGTATCACACATGAACAAGGAGGCAAATTCGATACTCACTCACAGGTCTGTCCAAATGTCTCCTGAAAGGGGCGGCGTTTTGGCACAGGTCTAGCATTTTTACCGAAAACATTCGTCGCCTTCCGTATCCAACTCCCTCGTAATCAGATCAGATGACTGAGGACCGTTTCCCAAACAACTTCGGACCTCTTGTGTTATCGTGCTCGTGACAGCTTGGAAGAAAACAACGCAAAGAAAGTTTCGATTGCATAAAAAGGTTTGAATAACGTCGGCTGTTTGAGAACACCAAAGTTTCTCAGAATCAGAATGAAGTGAAGACATTTACATGCTCCAAGATTGCAAAGCGATATGAAGGACAACGAATGTGGTTATTGCAGGAGCATACGATAAGATGGAGTAGCAACCATTCTGGCAATAGTTGCTCTATACGGGAACTGCAATGGGCACTTCACATTTGTCCGGCCTGCAACAAACAATTCAGACATTTTCAAATAGACGGCACTGCACCGGGAAGGACATGAGGCAAGCTTCTTTCAGAGATTATGCGTCGTCAGGCATTCCGTACCCAAAGTAAAGACTGAGAGAATTACGTTTTAAAAAGTCTTAAATCAGATTTTGTTCACATAAGCTATCGACAAAGCTAATGCCTGATGCTACTTTTCTGAAGTTCATCAGAACCAAGATAATGTCGCCACTACGTCCGTCGTTACATTGGACACGTCGTTTGGCATTCTAACTGACAATGAGCTGATCCAGAAAAATTTTTTGCAAAACTTTTATCACGTCAGATTTTGGAGTAGATAGAAATGAATATGAGCATCAACAAGTCCTCCTTTTTTGGGAATTTTATTCTTGATATCTCGAGGCAACATTGTAATTGCAGCAAATTCGATAAGCATTAATAATTGCAAGTACAATGTCCCAAAGTTGGATTGCAAACGAGCGATGCACATGTAATGACTATTCTTAGCCCCTTGAAAAAAATTTCATGAGTATTCAGCTCCTGAAAAGAAAATCGTTATTCAGTCTAGTTACAGTAATATTAGCATGTCACTGATGCATATCGATTGCAGCATGGCTTTTCGTGGCAATGCTCACAACCTGTCCCGAACCAATACGTATCTTTCACCCATAGTTAGTCGTCATCAGGTTTGCTCGTTACCATAATAGAGTTTGTCCTCATACGAAAATTTCGCTACCTCGTTTTCCCCTAACGGATGATAATGCAAGATTGTCCTCGCTTTTAAAAACAATGTGGTTAAATGAATGTTTTAGTACCTGACCACTTCCGTTATTAACTCGTTATCGCTTTCTCCTTCGTTCTATCCTTTTTAACTCTCAGCCTAGTAGTAGACCACTTGGACTCCGTAGTTAGAACGCTCCTTGCTTTTTTTCGTGTGCTATGTTTTTGTCTGGATGCCTTGTCAGTACTTTCTGAATCGTCAGATCCAGTGTTCCTATTGTCTTCTGATAGTTCCGTGTCCTAAACGAATAAATGTGACAAGCCGGAAACATTCTAGTGTTCCTACTTCAACTCGACGGATAAATGTGCAGAATGGGCAAAAACACCAATCAAGACAGAGACTGCGCTGGAACTTCAAAATTCATTGGCACGACGAGGCATCTGGCTGTCCATATCAATAATCATGCGCATTATCACCACAGTATCCGATAAACACTGCGATTCATCAAGTTTCGTTAGTTTGAAACATCTTTTAATTATGAAACAAAATCAAAAAAAGACGATATCTCTTACCGTATCAGCCTTTTGTTGATCTGGACTCATCTCCCAGTCCAACTTGCCATCCATATCGATGCCATTTTCTTTAGCAATTGCTCGAATGGAATGAATCATGTATCTGAAATATTCTTTGGCTTAGTGCCTGAAGAAAAGCTGCCACTCCTCGGCTATAATAGTCGTCAGGAAAATGACTGTTTCTTGGTGAAATCTAAAAGTAATCAAAGTGAGCTTTTCACAGTTCTTGATCCCACCATCAAGAGCTTCTAAGTGTCATCGATATTAGCTGGGTTTCATCGATTTTTTTTCTTATTGTCTGCAATCTGAGTTCGTGATACAAAAATCAAGAAAGGAGAGGATACACAGCGACAATCTAGAAGCGCACAACGGATTTAGTCATTGATCAATGGATTATGACCTCAAAAGGACCCATGACATTTATAGGAATGTCTTCTCCATTGTCATAACGAATGAAATGAAAATTACTTTATCAACTGGGACATGGAAGAAATATGGAGACCGCCGTTGTGATGTTTAAACGGGATGTTTAAGTAGAAGTTATGCATGATAAGAACTACAATATTTCGGCAAGAAATGATATTTTTAGAAGAGCCACCGCCATGGTACGGCAACTAATTTCTGCATCGATTAATTCTGTAGCTGATATCAACAAAGCCTCCAATCATTTTAATGCTCACCATGACAGCTCAACTACCTCTGACTGTTCTAGAGTCTCGGACAACATCATGGTCTAGGTGTGTTGCTTTTTTCCTGAATTTTGTTCTGTTAGGTGGTCGTGAGCAGCTGGTCGATCTCTATTGTGCTTTGGCTGCTCTTCTCAACGGTAGCGTCGAAATTTTGCCATCAAGAAAATCCTTGCTGAGAGACGAGTCCCGTGCAAAGTTCGGAGGTTTGTAATCTTTGGTGCACTCCAGTGGGATACAAAACAGACGGATCAAAGCACAGGTGCCCCAGTTTTTTCGATAATGGCTGAAGCCAAGAAACTCCGGTTAAATGAGAAACATCTCCATTCAAGAAAAACTGTAGAGGATTATAGCCACCAAAACGATGTTTGTCAATCGCATAACATGGTTCATTACGTGGTGTCGTCACAAAGGCAAACTTGCTGAATTTTGTGAAGGTCTTTACAACACGTGAAGACGAGCAATCTAAGAATCAAACCTAGTAAAGTGGCTAATCGATAAAGTGATTGGGTAACCCACATATAGTCGGGTTCATCGGTAAACTTCAGACAATTCACGTATTGAACGAGACGTTTGTATTCATCCGGAATGATTTCGTAGCACTTCGGCCCTGAAAATTCTTCAGTGCAAAGGAGACCGGACAATTATTGATTTATTCGATCAGTTCGATTTGACACCTTACATTCCGTTTCTTTCTTTGATACCTAATGAATAACCAATTTGGCCCAAATTCTCCTACACGTCAATAGTTTAGCCACATACAACGGAACATCGGTAAATTCTGTTTTAGATAACAAAAATTATAAAAAGAAGTAAGAGAAAGGTTTAAATAAACAAGAATAAAGATATTAATGAAAAATTTTAATAAATCTAAGAATCTAAAGTAAATAAATCAAAAAATCTAAATATAAATCTAATAAGTCTAGAAATAAGGTTTTCCTTTTTTTTTTTTATTAATCTCTTCATTCTTGCTTACAAGCCTATTATGGAATAGGAGTTGGTTTTCTGCAAATTGCAATTTCTAGCAAATCCACATCTTCATTCTTAAGCTCTCGATTCTTCTCTACTACACATGAAATCAGTTACGCTTCTTTTGGAATTCACACGACCTCGATGTGAAAAAGATGCTATTGTGGTAGAAGATCTATGTAGGATATGTTAAAGGTATATTATTTCTTGGAAATATCCAAGTAATCTATTTTGAAGCATCACTTCCGTCGTTATAAATTCAAATATAAAACTTATATGAAAACTGGTTTTATATAACCAGTCATTACAATTCATTACTGTAGGTATGAAACCGAACTCACATTTGAATAAGAAGAATTTTTGTTTGTAGTTGAGCACTAAACGTCTGTCTGTTACACGTTTCCACGGTAGACCGTTATTATTGTCCAACACGTCAAACGCCTAAACAATTCCGCTAGAACTCAATAGTTGTTGAGTGTTGTTGATTTCACGACGTGACGAGGTCCGCCAGAGCTAATGGCGTGAGTACAATTTCACTGCCTTCAATTTTATTCATTTTTCATCAGCATTACTGATTTGCATCGAAAACGCTCGACTTAATTTCCGCTTAGAATGGATTCATTTCGCTTTATCTGGTATTGAACAATCTTCTCCTACTTGATGACTTCTATTAGCGTCCACCAATCAGTGGACCATCTGGTCGTTGCGGTTGATTCTAGAAGAACATCAATTAAGCATGTGGGGTCTCTCATCGTTCTTGTTCATTCCATTTGAATCATCAGATATTTCTTCGTCAAAGGCTCGCAGGTGTAGTACGGAACGACTAGCCAGTGGTAGTCATGCAGTTCATCACTAGGAAAGCTCAACGTACCTAGGTGCTGGATCGACACAACCTTAGGCCTATGAAGCATAAAGACCTCAAAGGGATATCCTGGTTCGGGAAATTTGTGCAACAATTGTGTGCTAGCAGCTCGCTTCCTTCAGTGCGTTTGGAAACGCCATGGCATAGCTAAGGATAAAAAATAAAGGATGACACGTTTGTGGTTGATCAGTCCTTGTGAGATGCACCATGCATTCGTCTTCATCAAGCGTTATTAGAAAAGAATTATGCATACATGCCCCCTACACAATGACTTGCGATGGCCTACCGATGTATCAACTCAGTGCTGCTATTCTCCCAGACAAGTTTGGTATCAATATGCTGACCCGTAGAGATGAAGGGGCTGGTGAGCATGGAGCGCTGGATGGAACCAACGAACACGTGTGTGGTGTAAGTCTAACTACTGCGCTGCACGCTACTCTATACATCTGGAGATTCCAGGGAGAATCGACTCGACCAGAACCCAACAAAGTTCATGGCAAAAACGGAAGTCTTTAAGCAGTAACCGAACCACATGGAAAAGGTTCGAAGATTTTGGTGGACGATAGATGCGCAAAAACGATTCTTATGCAAGAAGTGCTAGGATTCGCACAGTGTGATAAAAGTGGTGTCGGATCATGTAAATGTAAACGTTATGTACAATGAATAAGCAGTTTTCATTTTCCATCTATCTGATTAATCTTTTCATTTTTCATCGCTTACGTATCTCTTTCATGTCTATTCAAATTTTTATCGATCAGTTAACCTAAAGGCATTCACTCTGTTGTTCGCAAGGTCATAGTCATCAATGGCGTCTGGAGACAACGAAAATTTTTGAAGCATCAGGCGATCACCAGATGGAAGGAATGTGAAAAAAACTAAGCCTAATTGTAAATAAGTCGTTCCTCACCATATACAACCACGATTCTAGGTCATCTTTTCGGCCTTGTTCAATATAGTGATGACAAGCTCGTGACGCAAAACGTATCGTTCCGATAAACTTCACATAAAGACGAGGAGCTCTAGAAACTCGTTTTCGCAGAGGAAAAGAAAAAACATTGGAGAAGAAGAAAACAAGGCAGGCAGAGCAGAAATAATAAGAAACTGTCACGTACTTCAATTCCTTTGTTAATCCTATCGTGAATTTTCGGGCAATACCAAAATCCAGCATGTATATAATATTTCGCTGCGTTTCCAAGCCAATAGCAAAATTTTGAGGCTTTATGTCTCTGTGTGCAATAAAGGCATTTCATCGAAATTCCTCCAAACTGATAAAACAGAAAGGAAAAGAAGAAAAAGCAACAACACTCAGAGCCTTAGACAAAGTTTACCTATGTAAATATCCAAGATCGTGTAAATCATAAACGGCGTGAAGTGTTTGATAAGCAATCTGCATTCCTGTTGATTTTGAGTAGTTTCGCCGTAAGGTGCTCCTTCGGATGTCTTCTAACGATTGCCCTACCAAGCCCATAACAAGAAACTGTAATGAGATCGATCGAAACAGATTTTAAATAACCGGTATTCGTACAAGTTCGTTGGTGTATATTATTATATTCCCGTATGTGTGTCTGCACATATAAATGTGTATGTGGGTTTGTGTGTGTGTGTGTTTGTGTGTGTGAATTTTTACGTGCCTGCGCCTTAAGTGTGTACATGGGGTGTGTGTGGTGTGTATCTCTGTCTATGATATGTATACATTCTATGTATGACGTGTTTGTAAGCCTGGATGCTGTTCGTTCGTATTTAGTGCATATATGAATGCTTGTGGTTGGCGTTGGCTACATGAGCTCTGTATGTTTATAGCATAGAAATTCGTTTCGCAAAATGTCATGTCTGTGTCTGACCTTAAATTTTTCGTTTTTTCCACGATCTACCAATTCGACGAAGTGTTTTTTGCGTTCAGGTTTCTCGACGTTCTGACAGAGTTTCAATACATGAACTTCCACTTTGAGTCTAAGTAAACGTCTATCGCCTGCACACATTTCTGTTTTCAGGGCGTATTCCTAGAATAATAACGATTATCTAGTTTCTTTTCCTTAAGATTTCACCGTAAGAGAGGAAAATAGAAAACTATTTGCTAAACTGCGATCTTTGGCAGTGCTCTGTGATAAGAAATCACGTTGAACTATCACACATTTCATGAAGTGACGATCGTTAAGTTTCCCGTGACCGAAGCGATTCCTGTGTAGCTGATGTAGCATTCTTGAAGGTATCCTACCAGTAACGGAAGGCAACGATGTTGAACTGCTATCGAGTTATTTGGCAGAGGGATAAGGATCACTTTATTCATATTCAACCCCTTCAACTTGTTGTAGACTAATCCTTAGTGATATTGTCACATAGAGGTGCTGACCAATGGTCATTAAAATCTTCAACTTAGTTATCACTGTGATAATATTTATGCTATGCATGTATGGCTCATTTCTGCCTATCCTCGGGCACTTAACAGTGCTGCTGTCATGCACCGACGTTGGCTATACCCGTTTTGTCGAACTACAGTCACCGTCCTTAGGCTTCTTTATTGGCTACTTGTCTAAATACCAATGGAAACAGTATCTTTCGACAAAAAACTGCGTCAACCATATGCGACTATAATCAGTTGTTCCTCATTGGAAGTCACGAAAAAGCGGCTCTGAAGAAGGCGATGCTGCCGAAACGTCAGTTAGTGTTGTATTGTATTGTGTTTTTCTATGGAAGTAAATGTATGCTGTTTAAAAACCTCGCGATTGCTGAACAAGAAAACGACACATACAAAAAACTGCCTTCTGTCGCGTTTCCATTGTGTCTCGTCTTAGTTTTATCAACGTTTTTTCCTAAAAAACTTTCTTAACGAATGACTTACCTATAGGTCTCACGCAGAGAACCTCCTCTCGCAATAATCTGTGTAAAATTTCGAAATACCCACCTTTTTATCACCATTATCAACTTTGGCAACTTTGTATACGTCACCAAACCCTCCAGATCCTAAAAGTTTCACAACTTTCCATCTGAAAAAGGAAGGTTTTAGGCCAATAAGATAGCTACAAATAAACACCGTTAGTGTTCAAGAAATTTCCTTACGTAAAGTTATCGCTTTTTATTGTGTCGCCTTCTTTCATTTTTTCTCTTCTCTTCAGTTCTTCTTTTACACGTTTTTTTTGTTCTACTCTTTGAGCAGGTTTACCCTACATAAATCAGGAATAGAAAAAACATTTCAAGGAAAAACTAATAGCTAACTGTTCCTCGAAGTTAAGTTATACGCACCTCTAGTGCTACTGCATTCTTTCGTTGAGCTGTAGCAGGAGCAGCTTCATTCGGTGCACTTGGATGTGTTTCATTTGGCACCGAAGGAGGCCCGCCATCTTTCAAGCCCGGAGGAACGGTACCTGCTGAAAGAGAAGGGGTCGGTGGAGTTTGAAGAACAGGTGTAACGGGCGTCGGTGGTGTTTGAAGGACAGGTGTCGCTTTTTCTGCAGGAGCGACTTTCTTACTGGCGGGTGGAACTGAAGTAACCGGAGCTGGCTTGGGCACTTGCATAGTAAATAAAAATTGATGGTATTATCTCTATTTATACTTTTTCTCTTATATGAATTATGTCTAATCCAATATCAGACACAATACCACACAGTTCTATAAGGTAGATAGTGTGATGAAATTACCAAAACATCTCATTGATAAATGGTTAGCGACTCAGATAACTTTTATTGAAACCATACGTATTTGATTAAAAGGGGGAAGGGGAAAAGGGAAGTGCAGTTGTAAGAGAATCCATGAAATACACGCATGATCTCTGATCCAATTCCATCTAGGTCCCAGTCGGCACGCGAAGGGAACGTATACACAGGAGTTGTTTCGAGAAAGCCCTCGCTTATCCACAAATCCGTAAAACTTAACGAATGCTTATAACGAATCCTTGAGGACGCTGCAGTAGAGCCAAGGGGTTACAGTGAAGAACTGTGCTCAACAAACGTGCAAGGACATTCGTGGAAATGGCAAACTTCTGATGTCGAAAACGAGCTACAACGAACATTCAAAGACTTCTGTAAACATCAGATGCGAAACAACGAACTGAAAAAAACGCTGGGACATCGTAGTGTGGAAAATCGCGCTATGTAATTAAGTAAAAGCGCAAAATTCTTAATAGGAACCAGATGCCTACTCCACATACGGCTGTACTTTGCGCAAACGCTCTTGCTGCTTCATAGAACCCGAACTTGCATACTTGATAGAAACTGATTGATTCACTTTACGTCTTTAATCGCTGTAGGCGTTGTATTACTGTAATTCGCACTGTCAATAAAGGAGCCAACATTTTCGTTTCCCATTAACAAAATCTGCACTAAATCGCACAATCATAAATTTTTCATTATCGAAGCCAAACACAAACTCTTGTTATTTGATTGACAATCGTACTGCTCCGAACAACAGCGGTTGCAAAGGAGTTAGCAGGGTTAATGTACCCGACAAAAACTTAAGTTATCATCGAGTTACAGTCTTTCATAAAGCTGCAATGTCAAGGTGAAATCAAACGTCGTAACAGTCCTTCGGGAGTGCTCTTTTTCCCGTGTATAATATTAATATCTTACTTAGATACCTGATACTTGAATGGCCCTTCCTTACTGGTTGTGAAGGCCCCATCACAATCTCCGTTTTTGGGGATTTGTTGGTTAAGCCATTGTGGTTCCGTGGAATCCTGAGGTCAGTCTGTCCGAAATCCGCCTCAGGTCTTCACCACCACAGGCAGCCGCGCCTTGTGGATCAGAGGGAGATTTGCCACCGTGAGACTTTGATACCAGGACGGTGGTGAGTCCTGGTATTGGCTTAATATTAAATAATCATTAATATTAATGTTATATTAATATATTAAATATCAACTTAACAGGAACTTTACATTGAAGCTGCATGTTTCAGTATCAGTCCACTTTTCTCAATTATGATGCCTTTCTCTTTTTTCTTTTCTTTGCTTCTAAATAGAGCTTTTGAGGCTTGTCACTGATTTGATAGTTGCCATTGGCTTCAGCATCCTCACATAGCTCCCTCACATAGCTCGTCAACTCGAAAGTTTCTAGAGAGCGACGTGTCTTGCTGTCTTTTAAACTCTCGAAAATTGATAGCAAAAATGCCCCAATGGTACCAGTGTATTAATAGTACCGATACTTTATTTCATCTGTTAATGAAAAAAGACTGACTACTTACAACGTGTTCAAGTAAAAGTCGGTTTAAAATGCGCCAATTAATCTAATACCGAATGCTAAGAATTCATTCTCCTCACGAAAATAAATTCGCAGTGACAATCAGTCAAGAACCGCCTTGTTTAAAATGGTGCTGCCGAATGAAGTTTTTCACTTGAGCGATGCTACAATCCAACAATCCACTCAGTTCGATTCAATGTGACTACGAAGAGCTGAATCGCAAGGTCGAATCGCGTGATAGTCGACTTGAATCACTCCTGTTCTGAAGAAGGACAAGACCCCAAGAGCTAGCGGAACAAATTCTTACAGTAGCTTCGTGTTTGTATATAATTAAAAAAGACATTATTTATGTGGGAATAAGTGAATGTAGGTTTACAACAACGCCCATCACAGCTGAGTATATTTGGTGTCGTTCGTGCTCAATTATGTGATAGACAACCTTGTTTTTGACCTTGAACCTTCGAAGAGAAATGCCTCATGCTCACGCGTGACCTCGCGCCATACCTCAGAAGTGACATTTTGAACTGAGCCAGACAGACTTCTCACCCATGTGTGACTGTGTGTGGCTGCTCTCCTCTAAATAGCTGGAAGACTTACCAAGAAGAGAAAAAGCTATTTATTATACGAATGGAAATATATGTATTCAGTTCTATCTGCTATGGCTGCTAAAGTGTTTGACTGAGTGTATTT